ACCAGAAAAAGTCATGATGTGGACTTCCACTTCGTCGGGTACGTACGCATGTGTGGACCATTCACTTGTTTGCGATGCAGCGATCATCTCCAATATGTACGTACCATTATGACCATTGTGTAAGTTCAACTAGACGCAGGAGCCAATTGCAGGGCGACGTAAGTAGCTGGAGAAGACAGAAGGACGCTCGTTGATCATTCTTAAATAAATATTCTCGTGCTCCGCGCTCACTGTTGAGCCTCCGAATCCCGTATCCTGTCGTCGAGCTGTCACGAAATCTTCCTTCCTGTTTCCTGTTACGTCTAATCCACACTAGCACATAGGTACAAAATAATACTTGGTCCACCGCAGCTGCAATCAGCTGATCTCAACATCACCAGCCCGTCGTCAGCTTCCCGCTGGCTGTTAACCACTGGCTGTTAACGTGTCGCCCTTAGACGAGGCAGAGCCACACGACCACCGGCACCACTTATTAACATCCTTCTGCAACTCAACTCCGCCGTCAGACTGGCTTAAACCTTGGCAGTCCTGGCCACAGGCTGGTCGAAGCTCCCATCTGGATAGAAACCAGCACAGAGTCAGACACAATACAAACTCAGCAACTACAAACCACTACACAACTCACAAGCGATGACGGATATGGAGCTCAACCGCAGCGAGTCCCTGCGCGTCGACATCATCGAGTCATTCTCTGACTCCTGTATAGCAATACAATCAGTCAAACAGTCAGTATTCTAACCTTCTCATCAAATAACCAGCCTTGACTTCGTACACGTCCGCTCTCGTGCCTCTCTTCGGGTATTGGTGACAGTAGAATAGGTTTGAGGGTGGGCCAGTTCAGCCCCAGCTCGTCCTCCGTGAGTACAGGTGCTGGCTCATAGCCCAACCAACGTGCCTGTGAGCGCCGCACGGCCTTGCGGTATTGCACCATGCGGTACATCCAAAGCGCCAGTAGTGCCAACGCGGTGACGCCCAGAAGCGCAAGCGCCAGCTCCGCCACGCCCATCTCCATGCTTCTAGACGGCGCCTGCCGTCGGCCTCGGAAGTGAAGGAACACCGTGTCCAGTCGGGAGTTGCAGGCCGCTAAATACACACGACCTAACACAGATCGGGGATATTGGAGACTGATTAGGAGGAGCTGCTAGACCACATGCACTTACAAGAGATGGTGTGTCACACACTATGTTAAGTATAGCCTAACTTAGGACTGGCGTATGTAGCACTGAATTAGTCAGATTAGCCCAATGTCACGTTAGAAGAAGAAAAAAAAATGTATCAGATACAATACGAACATGAACGACACAAACTGTCAAAGCGAAAAGAAGTTGCTTACATGTAGTCATGCTACTAATATGCCTAGGCTCTGACTCACAACGTTGCACGACATGTTTAGGCATTCCGAAAATAATGTGCATATAAGTTAAGATAGGAAATGATGATGACGCTGGCTCGTCCCTCGTACTTCAGTAGAGGGAATTGACGAGATGCCTTCAACGTGTACCACGTCGACATAGTGTCATCAATCCATGGACAGAATCCCACGTACATATTGCTCATACACGTAAATGCAACTCGATCTGAAGGCTAGCTCTGTTCTCATGGCTCATCATCGGACGCCTCGACAAGCACAAAGTCGGTGGGACCAGCCTCGGCCATAGTCTCAGCTACTCCATTGCTGAGCTGCTCGTGCGAGTCCAACTTGGCCTGTAAACTGCGCTGCACCATCCGTGCTTCCTGTGCTTCCTGCACTAGCGCTGCCAGATTCACTTGTGAGTATGGCTGCAAACGCTTGACCTCTTGCACCAGCATCTTTTTATGCGTCCGCAGCGTGCGGTTCTGCTTCTCCAGCTCCTCCACTTGTGCCGCTTGTTCGATGTGCTTCTCGCGCCACGAAGTCGCCTCGACCTGGGACGCAGCCAGCTGAGCCTCAAGCTCCATGTTCTCCACGGACCGCCACAGACACTGCTCTTGGAAGCCGGCGCATAGTCTTTGCACACGCTCCAACTCGCTTGAGGGTGGTCCCTCCGGTTGCGTGCTTGGCATCGCAGCAGGCGGTGCCGAAGCTGGGACTGCTGCTTTGCTTGTGCTCTTCGACACATTCGACTTGTGACCACCGACGGATGAGCATTCGAGCTGTGTGATGGTCTCCAAGTTGGCCTTATAGATCTCTTCAGCAATTTGAACGCGGTCCAGTGCACTTTTCAGCTCCTTTTTAGTGGCCATAAGACTCTCTTCGAGGTGCATCTACCATACAACAGCAAGTGGAAATGAGTTTGGCGAAAACAGGTGAACCAGCTAACAGAACTTACCACTTGCGACTCGAGCTGATGCGTGCGTTCTTCCAACACTGCAGCCTGAATCTGAGAATCCTTTTCTAGGCCTTCATCTGCAAAATCGTCATCGTGTAAGCTATCATTGTCAAAAGCGCCATCAGTTTCGCTGCTTCCCCATTCGGAAAGATCCTCCACCGACGTGATCTCCGAAGCATTCATGTAGTCGTACAGCCACTCGGCTGTATCAACAGCATTTAATCCACTAGCGACCTCCAACACTTTCTTCGCAGCAGCCAACGGCACCACCTTCACCTGGAACTGCAGTGGCTTCGATATCACGCTGTTCATATCCGCATTCTCCCATTGCAGCGATACGAATCCATTCTTCTCGGCCACATAGTGTCCATACACGAAGCTGCTGTTTTCTCCTCCTTCCTTGAAGTCACAGTTTGTTCTGTAGTGAGCCACCTCTTTCTCCTCTTTACTACCTGTCACCTCAGTATTACTGACACTGTATGGGTCGATATCACCTTGTTCCCCTTCGTCACTCGAGAACTCTGCGCTGAACACTAATTTCGGGCCTTGAGACGCGAATTTCCAGAGCACAATCTGCTTCTCTTCGACACACACCCGGTGCTCCACCGCACAACCCGCGGCCACCCTTTCCTCTGCTATTTCCGACTCCTGAACGTGAATTACGGCCTCCACTGAGTCCCTGTAGCTCTGTCCGACCGTCTTATGAGTCGTCAATAGATTCCCATTCAGGAAAGTTTTGAATGCTGCAGACGTCGCCAGCTCGGAATTTGATACCAAATGATGGATAAAATTCTCCAATGCGATAGCTAAGCGAACTCCAAGCTGATTCGACGGGTAGAAGCTCGGCTTGGAGTCGCAGCACGCCTCAATAGCTGGAAGAACTGACGGAATGCAGGGGGAACGTTGAAACTTCTTTGCCTCTAGCTGCAACTGCCTCTCCAAGTGCTGGAAATCGCGTAGGTTCCGCTCCAAACTACGGAAGTGGTTGTTGTGGTGCAGCAACACTAGCACAACGGCGTGCGGAGACGGAGACAGCGGTGCCTGTACTGCGACGTCAAGCATCATATTTCGTATGGAAATATTGGAGAAAGATGAGAGCTTTACAACCTCTTTTATAGAATAAACCTTCGTTAAGGGATAAGCAATCATTCAATATTAAGTTTTTCAGAAGTATGTTAATAAAAGTTAATTTAAAATTTAACTTTTTAATCTTACCTTTTATTAAGGCGTAAAAGTAGCGATTTGTAAAAAAAGACTTTTCTTGCTTAAATCATCAGACAATTAGCCAATTAGCAAAAAACTTTTAAGCGGCTAGATTAGTAAATTATACATACAGGATCGTCCAAACAGTAATAAGGCTAAGCCATGGATACGGTCTAGCTGAACACTGGAGCTCAAAAATAACAGCAGTTTGATATGAGGTCAATTCGAAGTAAATACAATACCACGAAATAGAGAAAGCTATCCATAAATTTTGTGTGTTTGTGCCATTTTCCAAGTGCTGTTATCATTTCAAACATTTAGTGTTCGAACAAAAAAGATAACTGCCAGACGGAGTGCGGTGCTTCGAGCTGTGCAGCGTGGATCAGCAGGATGGCTAAGAAGGAGTTCCACAAGGTGTACAATGCGCAGAGCAGGCACAGTCGTATGCCCACACAGACACAGATCCTGATGGGCACGATGGGGCTGGCGGCGTTATTGCTACTATTAGAGCTGTCCATGCTGCGTGGAAGCGGCATCCCCGACGACTACCTCCACACGGAGACGGAGGAGGGCAAGAGCTTCTACCCAGACGAGATCTTGGAGTCTAAATGGGCGGACAAGGCCAGCGAGGCTGACCTAGTGCACCTCAGTCTGCTTCACGAAGCCTGTCTCACTTACAAGGACAGCGTCGTGCCGTGGACCTACGGGCTCGAAGGCAAGGTGGCCAAGCCAAGTGTATTAATCGACAAGGACGACCCGGATCTGCTCGAGAAGATACGTCAGTGCCCCGATGTGGACATTTTCCTGCCGCTGGGCATTCGAGGACATGGATACTGCGAAGATTCCATCGCCTACACGAAATGTGCGCCTTTGAATGATACAGGTTGGATATGTTAAAGATAAGTACTGATGCTTAAATTGCTTGTTGCTGTAGTTTTAGAGTCACGCATGCTGCCAGCGTGGGCAATCGAGATGAAATATGTGGACAAGAAGACGGGAGAGACGTTCTCGTACCATGATTTGTGTCCAAAGACTCCTATGATTTTCTTGAACCACTACTGGGATGGCATCCCTGACTCACCGGACTGGCCAAAGTCCAAACCGTTGTATCTGATGCCGAATATTGAGATGTACGAGCTCAAAGCGGAGCACTACTGGGGAGTGGATGTTGTTCTGTGCAAGACAGCTATCTGTGCGCGTCGGGTACAGATGTGGTACCAGCAAGAAGGCAACCCGCGCAATACGAAAGTGCTGTATACAAGACATACATCATCAGACGTCGCAACTTTGGCCAGAACGCGTCTTGGACACGACTCGATCAAACCGAAAAACTGGTCGGACGTTCAGTTTATTCATGCAGTCGGCACCAGTGTGCAAAAAGGAACCAAACCTGTGTTGAACTGCTGGCTGACACGTCCTGATTTCCCGCCATTGCATGTGTACATGCACGAAGATGTGTACAATGGCAACCTGAAGAACCACTACGAGAAGAGGATCCGAGGCACTCAAGTGAACATGCACGTCGGTCGAGCCAGTGCTGATGAATTCGGTAAAATGATTGCCGAGAGCGCCTTCTTCATGTGCACGAGTCTTCAGGAAGGCTACGGCCACTACATCAACCAGGCGCGTGCCAGCGGCGCGGTTATTATATCGACCGACTTGCCGCCTATGAACGAGTTTTTAACTCCCGAGTCTGGTGTGTTAATTCCGGTGAAACGCTGGGCTTTTCAAGAGCAGATGCTTGGTGGGAGGTACAATGGAGAACACGGTTTGAAGGACGTCGAGGGTTTCACAGCGGATCTAGATGGCGTTGGAGTATGCAAAGCTGTTGAAAAGGTGCTATCAATGACCCCCACTGAGCGCGAGGCAATGGCAGCGCGAGCCAAGAAACAATACTTTATCGACCTAAACTTTTTCGCATCCAAGATGAAGGAGCTGCGAGAGATTGCACGCCGTGGCGAGGCACCTCGACTCCGCACAGGCGAGGAAGACACTGTTTAGCTCGGAGTGGACAGAAGAAGGATGAATGTAAAGATCCCGCAGACGCTATGACGGCGCGGAGGAAAGTTAGAGGGTGGTGATCCAGCAAGAAAATATGTTTCCACAGCTAACGGCGCTGCAAGCTAAATACTACATGTACTTCGTACTACTTGACGTGCATTGAGGTCTAGACTCGGCAAGCTGCCAAGATACAATAAACTCGTGTGCAAAGTACTTGCTGCTGCTTGCTATAGGATCATGGATATATACTCTGTAATTTATCTGTCGACGAAATGGCGCACTTCGACAAGTTCGTCTTTTTCTACCCAGTAGCGTTTCGTCGTCTCTATGTGCAAGCCGTATCGCTTTACACAGGTATTTGAAGCTATTTATGTGTAATTTGTGTACACCAATGCAATTGCTGCGAAAATGATGCGGCTCCGACATTGCTGGCCTGACTGGCATTCTCCAAAGACCGCCACAAGACTCAAGACCAAGATTCCAGTCCCAAGAACTCAAAGACAACGAATCCAGTGAGACAGCCAATTGTTATCAGCCAACTCCCAGAACTCGAGCCTTATCAGCCTCTAAACAGTCATGGAGGGTACCAGCAAGAAGCCCATGTGGGGTAGTCCTCTACAGGACGATGACAACCAGCGCCAGGAGCATTTCAACCCCGAACCAGAGCCACCAATGGAGTCAGAGAACGATCGTCTAGGCGTCCACACGCTGCTGTTGCTGCGTACGCCACCAATGATGCCTTCACCCCACGAGAAGGAGGCAGCCAGGCACTTCGAGATGCACAACAGCGTCATCTCGCTTCTAAGCTCGAGTCCTGACACCTCCTCCGATAGTGACACGACCAGCAATGGTACAGACCGTAGCAACGGCCCCCACTACATGGCAAGAAACCAGAGCAGCTCCGATGTGCCAATGCTGAATAGGATGTCCAGTGTGAGTCTCATAGAGACCCGTGATGCAAGGGCGGAGGAGAAGGATAACGGAGAAGGCAGCCTGAAAATTACCAGCCACCTAACATCAACCCATGATGCCCAACCGTCTTTATCAAGGACGGAATACGTCGACGACGAGGGCCGCTACGACCATGCGACGAAAATGCCGATCCCCCTTAACACAATGACTCAGGAGAAAGTCCACCGCAAACGTCCGGCACCCTCTCCAGTGAGCAGTCAATTCGGTCTGAACGGAGCTCAACATTCCCGGAAGCGTCAAAGCCACGCGTCATTGACTACAATGAAAAAGTCCTTTGCTGGCCGAGGTTCTGCCTCTGATGGCTGCTTATCTACGCCGACTGGAGGAAAAAGCTCAACGCTGGCAAAACTCGCGAGCAATTTATTGCAGCAACTGGAGAATGAAGCTGCAGGCACACTGCTCGTGTACCAACCTACGTGCTTAGACCACCACAACGATTCACACCAGGAGAGTCGTCAACGTCTGTGCGTGTTGGGTGGCCCAGAAGGCGTCCTCCACAAAGACCGGTTTAAAGATCTCAAGTGGGCTAACCTGAACGAACTGCGTCCTGCACGACTCAACGATATTTTGCGTGTACACACTATCGAGTACATTCAGCACCTCGAACGTGCATGCGGTAATTTACCAGAGCAGAACAAGAAATACTTGGTTGGAACGCTGTACGACAAGCATAAAGGAGACAAGGAGCTCACATACGCCGAATGGCTCCAGGTAAGCGCTTCTTTTCTCCATAGATTACTAAGTGTGTCTGATAACGTGTCTGGTCTGTTTGCAGACTGAGCACGCTTTGAAGTGTTTTGAAGTGGGAGATCAACCATCAGCAGGCAGCTTCGATATGGACTCACCAATCTCCAAGAGCAGCTACATGGCTGCTCGTATGGCAGCAGGTGCCGTGTGCCATGCTATCGATAAAGTCCTCAACAACGAGACAAAGTACGTCCTAGCGGGCATCACCAACCAGTCGCGCATCTCTAAAACTATGATTCTTGTTTCTCTATGTCCTTAGGAATGCATTTGTCGTTGTGCGACCACCGGGTCACCATGCGGGTCCAAATGGGTGCGTCGAAGGCGAAGGTTTCCACCTCCGTCCTGAGATGTGCACGTGCGGCTTCTGCTTGATCAACAACGTCTGCATCGGCGCGTCGTACGCTATGAGCAACTACAGCTCTCCATTCTACACCCCGGCCATATCAAGCATGAACTCAGACTCCTTGTTAAGCTCGACAAAGCGCGCGAACATTCAGCGTGTGGCCATTGTAGACTTCGACATTCACCACGGTAACGGCACCGAAGAAGTCATCCGCAATTTGATCCCCCACAAGCAAAACTACCCGCTCCCGCCGAGCTGGGCACCAGTGCAGTTCTCTTCGTACAAACCATGGCGTGATGAGAACGATCCGGATAATGTATTCTTCTCCTCCATTCATCTGTACGACGATGATAATTTCTATCCGTGCTCTGGAATGGGGCCTCACGGGTGTTCTCCAGAGCTTGAGAAGAGCAAGAACATCGTTAACCTCCCGCTAAAGGTGCTGGGGCCCAAGTATCTAGACGAACGGTTGAAGCTCACATCCAAGGCAAAACGATCTCTGATGGAGCAGTCGTCAAAGACCTTTCGCAACAACGTGACCAAGAAGCTGATCCCAGCGTTGACCAAGTTCCAGCCTGACCTCATTATGCTGTCCGCCGGATTCGACGGACACGCTGACGACTTTTATTACTTCCTTAGCGAGGATGACTACGGCTGGATCACAGACCAGATCACTGCTGTTGCCGACGAGTAAGTGGTTTGTTCGGTATGTATGTGATGGTGCCTGACCTTGGTGTTGTGCAGGTGCTGTGACGGGCGCATCGTTTCGGTGCTCGAAGGCGGCTACAACGTCGTGCCATCCAAATTCCAGCGCCCGCAGCCTAAATCGCGTAAGAATGCAACCTCGAATTTCCATCATGCCGCCAAGATGCACAACCGCCCTGTGGACGAGGAGCTCGATTCGTATGGCTCGCTTGCACGATCCGTGGCCTCACACGTCGCAGCTTTGTTGCGCGCGTCACAGAATTAGTGTTAAAATACATAACCCCGTCTAACTCGTTTCATCAATCTTGCACCGAAAATTCTCGATCCGAGTCCGTTTCGGGAATCTATTTGGTAAATTACGAAGCGTCTGTTTCGAGCCAAAAAGCGAAGGGGGAGAAGACACATTCGAGCTTTTCGCCTGTTGGATCGGGGGCTACAGACGCGACGCTAGACGCAACGAGGCAGCCATGTCGGAGCGCAAGGCTGTGATCAAGAATGCAGACATGCACGAGGATATGCAGCAGGACGCAGTGGACTGCGCCAGCCAGGCGTTGGAGAAATACAACATTGAGAAGGACATTGCCGCCTTCATCAAGAAGGAGTTTGACAAGAAATACAACCCCACGTGGCACTGCATCGTGGGCCGCAACTTCGGATCATACGTGACTCATGAGACCAAGCACTTCATCTACTTTTACCTGGGTCAGGTGGCCATTCTGCTCTTCAAGTCCGGTTGATAGCCTCGTGCAGTGTCAGCCAACAGACGCGATGCGCAGCCGACGACTTACCATTGTAGCACACAGCTAGCATTGGTGGAAGATATAATAATATATTACAGTGGCGAGCGCCGCTGAGCGCGCGTTGAAGACATAGATCTGTATTGTGTTGCGATTATTTGATGGCAAAAAGATTCGTTGTTATTTGGCATTTGCTAGTCGCCTGGTTACATATCTACATGATCGAGCACTTCTCTTGGTCTCCACCAGCACGACCCGTAGTGACGGCACCAGTGTGTGCGGTCTCGGCATGTTGGATTAAAGCATTCACGTCCGGGAAGATCGCGCGGCACTGTGGACACACCTCGCTGCCAGCGGGTACTCTGGCCGCTGCACGAGCAGCAGGCTGTGCTGTAGCAGGAGCTCTTCTAGAGTCTGATGTATCGGGGTGCGCGCGATTAACGTGTGCAATCAGCTGACTCACGTACGCGAACTTCTGTTGACACATGGGGCATTCCTCGGAGCTCGTTGTAACTGCACTGCTTGCAGCCTTTGCGTTCTGGACAAGAGAAGACACAGCCGACTTGGTGCCATTGACAACAGAAGCTGCAGCGTTTTGTGCGTTCTTCTGGAATTGCGACGTCTGCTTTGGTTTAGCTGAACTTGTACTCCTGGCTTTAAATCCACCAAGCCACTGCTGTCTTTGAGCCTGTCGCTTCGCCTCACAGTCGTGATCAGCCTCGAATCTGTGCTTAAGACACACGTCCTGGGCACATTTGTTGCAGTGGAACTGGTTGGATGTAAGCAGCACTTCCCTGCAGTTCTCGGCAGCGCAGCGCTTCTTCTTGGGCTTTTTCTGCTGTTTAAGCTGCTGCTGCTTGAACTTCTCGCGTGTGCATTGGCCTACTCGCACATGCTCCTCCCACACGGCGTTGACGTCTTGTTCAGCTGTCCAGCGGATCATCTGCTTACACACGGGGCACTGCACTACGCGACGGTCGTTGCTGCCAGCTTTTGGGCACTCGTGCGAGTCATAGCTGCGGTGTTCGAGGCAAAAGACGCCGCTGCAGCAGTCGCACGTGAACGGAAGGAAGTCCTGCTGGTGACAGGCAGGAACGGAGCAGTGCGCACCGATGTCCATGCTTGGAGGTTTACGGGGAGTTCCAGAGAAGAGATGGAGAGAGCAACAGAGTCCGAGCTTGATGAGCTCGCGGGAAGGTTGCGGAATGAGCTGGTTGAAATTGTGTTCTTAGTCTTTATCCCCTGGCTTTATTGACGTAGATGAGGCCGACTGGAATTTCTGAGTTCGAATCATCGAGAAGAATGAGAGTGACAATGAAGAGGTCAGTAATCCCAGGGAATGACAGCTTAAATCTCTTTTCTGCCAATTATACGATGGAATGAATATCGTCCAATCCGATACGAACGATAATCCGGCACCTCGTCCATTGGAGACCGCACGTCAATAAGCTCGTCATGGCGCTCTTCCGGTACGCTTCCTCCGCCTGTATCTTCTCTTCCAGCGCTCATTAGCACCCATGCCGTACTTTATCGTGCGCACCTTGATCTCCTCTTCCTAATGCATACATTATAATCCCCTTAGATCCCTCGCTCGCCAGTTCAAGGCCCTTTCCGTCTCACAGCCCGCTGTCGCTCAAGCGCCGCGCTTCGCTGCCGTGACTTCGGCTCCGAGCGCCTCCTCGACGCTCGTATCAACACTAGCCGTGCGCGCAGCCGTTGCCTTCCCGCAGCTGCAGGTGCGCGCCATGGGCTACAAGCTTAAGACAAAGGCAGCTGTTAAGAAGCGCTTCAAAGTGAACTGCAACGGCCTCGTCAAGCGCGCTCAGGCCAACAAGCGCCACATCGCCACTAAGAAGACTCGCGAGCGCATTCGCCGTCTAGGCAAGCCCGTGTTCGTGCAAGGACAGATCCGCAAGAACGTGCTCCGAATGCTAGGCAAGAAGTAAACCTTATCTCGCTGTACTCCATTGATCGTGCCTTGTTAGAAGGCAACAGCGCTTGCTGTAGATAGAAAACACTTCAGGTTGGAAGACTGGGCAAGGCCAGGAAATATGGAGTTGGTACAGATGCAAGTATTTGTGTGAATTGTACTGACTTCGTGCGAGTACTGGTTAGGAACTCTAGCGCTTTAGGTGGGACGACGTAGGTTCGGATCCTGCTGTTCACGACGTGCAAACGCCCGTAGCTCAAGCATACGCAGCCTAAAGAACTTGGCGTCTTCGTTGAAGTGGTGTCGTGCCCGGGTTCCTAGAGCCACGCGGTCATTCATTGACGTCGATGGACGTGCCTTTAGTACTGCGTCACAGAGATCTGAGCTTCGGTAGTTAACCGGTGCAGGTGGTAGCAGCAGTGAGTCGTCTGAGCGACTCTCGGTTTGTTCAGTAGGAAAGAAAATGCCTTCTGAAGCCGAGACCAGTTCGTTCATCGGATACGCACCCGCTGTCACTATTACGCCACCGGAAGCTCGTGCGAGGTCGAGGCAATCGTCGGCTGCAGTTGGGCAGACGAAGAAGCTGCTGTTACCGAACGCCCTTGCGAATTTGACCGGATCTAGAATTTGGATCTTGGTGCTGTTAGTACTGGGGAACGGCTTGTATAACCTCTCGCCATCGGTCGGCTTGTCATCTTGATACTCTTTTAGCAAGTACACATCCAGAGGTGGGAGCTCTTTGGCGTGAGAACTCCAGCAGTTCATCACATCTTGCGTAGGCTTCGACGAGATATCCCATGTTGTATGAGCGAAGCGAGGACTGGCAAAGTCCGTCATGTTCTTCTCTCGCGCCGCTCCGTCGCCAAGTACTCTTCGCACAAGGTTGGACGGGTCGGTAGTCACTTGGCCAGTGTAGATAACTCTGATTTTCTTGTCCATGGAATCTTGGGGTTCTAGAAACGCCTTCACGTCTTGATCGCAGCGTTTAGTACGACATAATACGACGTCGGTGCGTTCTAGAACTGACTGTGCGAACTGCTCTGGAGCTCTCGATGTAGATTTTAGATCTAGACCTGGTGCCATGAGATAAACCGGTTTAGTTGATGGCCACGACGGATGTTTCGTAAGTGACAGAACATGTTCAGGAGCTAGGAACAGCATAGGCGTGTCTGGGCATAACTCGAAGTAGCTGGTTTTGTGTCGCGAGGTGATGTCGTAGAGTTCAACGTCGAAAATCCAATCAGGTAGCAGCCGTGACTGCAAGAACTTGAGTGACCCAGCGACAGCAGCACAGCCAGCAGGTCCTCGAGCGGATGATGGAAGGTAGATATCCACGTCCGGGCATTGGCGTAGTGAGGCAACCAGTCGTGGGTCACCTCGATGCAGTAGCGACGTGCTGGTTTGGGCTTGAGGAACTGGGAGATCGGCACTGTTACCTGGAGCAGCATATACCCACGGGAACACGGTGTCATTCTCTAATCTGCACCCGGTTTGGAGGTAGTGGAGATGCAGCAGGTCATCTGAAGATACATGAGTTTCCAGCTCGTCGAAGGCCGCGAGAAACGAAGATCGTTGTGTGTGCAGAGCGATAACTTCCCACATGACGGAAAAGACGCCGATGGTCATGACCAACGCGACGAGCGTCTGTAGCCAGCGGATTGAGTCGTGCTTGGAGAGAAGGGACTTCTTCATGGTGATATTTCTTTGCCTTCCACCGAGTGAGTTTCTTTGCTTTCCACAGAGTGAGCGATATCCGTTACTGGTGAGCCCAGATCAATATCAACGCCATTTAGCGTAACGACGTTTTTCAGCTCGATGGGTACGCAATGTACTACACTTACTGCGTATAGGTGTCCAAAGAAACCTCCCAAGCGCATCATGTACTCTCCGAGCACTCAAAAGTGAAACACAGCGCTTCTTGAGAATCTCTAGCAAACGACTGATACTTCAGAGGCATCTGCTGTGAGCCTGCAATGATGTTGTATCGGGACATATTAACGATTCAAATCTCGAAATTGTAATCCTTTACCACCGTAAACTTTGTTCTAATACGGCAGCATTTCAAAATCTTCTTAGGTGAGGAGAGTCGATTGTGCACGTCGAATGAAATTCTGGAATGCTGGCTGTCTTATGCGGTTCATCCAAAACTGGCCTGCTTGTGACTGATTTTGCTGTGAAGACCATGAGCTTCATCGGTGCCAAAGATGCTGCACCCGTAATACCCCCACCAGTGGTGGGGGTATTACAACAGTGGTGGGCCACCACTGTTGTGCCAGACTGCTGCATGCAGTCATTCAAACTTTTTTTTAAGAGGAGAAATCGGAATAACAAGAGATAATTGGAGTGTGTACTGTATTGTTATTATGCGCTGCGTTCAACTCCGGCAACTCACCTCAGATTCTACATGTTGAAACAAACTGTAGGTGGCATTAATCCGCTGCCGAAGCTGCAATCCTTTCTGTCAATATAACACAGATGTTATCAGGGTCATGACTTGCTAATCTCTACTTAAGTAAGAGTTGGGGGAAGTATAGATAATTAGTAAATTGATTGAGGGTCAGATTGTCAGAGATTGTCATTGATGAGATCCGGTACCTCGTTCCAGTACACGATTAAACAGCAACAACGTGAGCTAGTTTTCACTTTTCATTTACTGGTATGTAAGAGAAAATCAACCTTGTGTGTTTCGTGTAGCAGTTCACCTCTACAAAATGCCTTTCATTGGCTTTTGTATACGTCTTGGAATGCTGAGCTTTTTCTTGGTCTGAAAGTATTTTTCATCTTTCTGCTGAAGTATTCTTGTTCTTATTCATCCTGAATCATTTTTGAAGCGTATGTACACACAAGCTCAAACAGCTATCGTTCTTGCGTTTTCTCGGAGATACGATGACGCTGCTACTGCAGGCGTCACTGCTCTGTTTCGGCAAACGACGAAAATCCATCTGAACAGACAACGCAAGCATCTTTGATCCACGAGTGATGCTATTGAATACCAAGTACTAAGTACACGTTTTGCAGGTCTAAAATCTAATCATTAAATCACCCTATCAAAACTTGAGCAGATTTGACGCGAAAACTAGCTGGTCCCATCGAGTGACGATACGGCCAAACATGATAAAATGTCCTAGCGCTTGCTCTTCACTCTTGAAACAACCTAAGCTGTCGAAAACCATGTCAATGCTCGAGCCATCGACCTCACTCAATGTCATCGAGTAACCCCCTCTTTCTGTGACCCACTGAACATCATCTTGACCAGTCAATTCTGCATCACGGCTACGAGCATTAGCCTTGGAGTCACCGAGGACGTAGTAAAACTTGAATTTTCGCTTTCCATCCAGCAACTCTATCTCCGATCGCTGCACCAGGCACATGTAGCGAAAGTTGGTGCCACCAGTGTAATTGCGAACAATCACGTATGTGTCTTCGTCGAACTTTTGCAACGTCTGGATGTTGATCTCTGCTCTGACGCCGATATCTCTGGCTGTAGGCATAATAGGCCACTTACTTGACCCATCCTGGCTGATCAAACGATCCATCATGCTGTCGATCGAACAGTGTATCCGTTTACTGCACCGGACGTGAGCGATTAGAAAATCCTTGCCAGGGGTAAGTGCGCCGTGGTAAACCTTCCATCCGAGATACACTCCAGCCCAAGCGAGATAGGACGAATTTCTGGCTGTGTTCTTGTCGTGACAGCGAAGAATATCGTCAAATTCTTCCCTGGTAAATGGATGGAAGAAAAACGATGGACTGGCCTGCGGGAAGTGCACACGGAAGCCGGATTGTTGCTGAACTGGTTGCCATTTCGACTCGATGCAACGCACTGTAACTTCGCTGTGCATTTCGGTCGAGTTGGTGACATTATTATCATTGAGAACACTGTTTCTTGCACTCTGAATCATTAGCGCGAGCTTCTGGAACCGTGCGAGCTCCTGTTGTAGCTTTACATGTTCTTCTCGAAGCGATTCATGCTCCAATACCAGCTGTTGCATCTGTAGCTGGACCGAATCGATCCCCCCGTTGCCATCGCATTTTTTATTCCTATGCAAGGCGGCAAGCCGCTGCTCTAGCTTTTGTTCAAGACGACGGTATTCCTCGTTCATGTCATTCTTCTTCACTGCTCGTCTGTTACGGAAGCGTGCCATTCGCCTTCGATGAAGCTCGAGTTTGCGCATGTCCTTGAGTGCTTGAGGCCACTTCCTGATTTCAGCTCGAGTTGGTTCCGGATCACTTTCCGTTGCGAAGAGGTCGAAGTCTTCAGCATCCACTGTCCATTCCACGCTGTTATTGACGTTGGAGTTGCTCAGAAGCGTGTCTAGG